CAACGACGATGACCCATCGGTCGCCCACACACCCACCACACCAGCATACACACACATCCATGCCCTTGTCTGTCTGTCTGTCTGTCTGTCTGGTCAGCTTGACAACGAGGCTGAGGCGCTTCTGACGACGGCCACCAAGAGGCTCCTCGACAGCGACATCCGCTATGTGAGCACACAGACACACCGTCCAGCCATCCATCTGTGTGTGTGTGTGTGTGTGCAGGTGACGTGTGTGAGTTTGGCTGCGATGATCGGGCAGGACGAGGAAATCGCACAGTGCATAACCGAACAGTAAGTCGCTGCCACACACACACACACACACAGACACACATGTCATTCTCTGTCAGGCCGCAGGAGAGCGGACTGCTGAGTACCCGTGACTACATGGGCAAGGGCTGCAGTGTGCGGCGACACACACACAACAACTCGCAGCAACAACAAGGTACAAGAGACAGACACACAGACACAGGCACACCAAATGTGTGTGTTTCTCTCGTCTGATGCCATCTCACTGGTCCGTCAGTGTCGCGCAAGCGTGGTCGTGCGGCGGTGGACGACGACAAGTCGTCGCACAGTGAGAACGACAACAAGAAGGGGCGCCAGTCGATCAGCAGCCCGGCCATCAGACAGAGGGCAGACGGACTCTCGTAACCACACCACAACACACACAAATGGATCGATGGATGGATGGATGTCTCTGTGTGTGTGTGTCTGTGTGTGTCAGGAAACGGCCGCGCCGCACACTGCCGATGCTCAAGTGACCGGCGCACACACAGACTGACAGACTGAGAGGCAGGCAGACAGTCATGATGTGCGTGGCGTGTGCGTGGCGTGAGAGACAATTTTGATGATGCTATCGCAACAGACATACATACAGACAGACAGACGAGTGGCGATGAAGCGTGTTGATCCATGGAATCAATGTCATGACGTGTGTGAACGACAGACACGAACCTACCTCTACACACACGAAAGTACTGTACAAGTGTACCTTCCATCCATTTCTCATCCATCCATCCATCCATCCATCTTTCTCTGTCCATTTCATTCATCTACGTGAATTGATCATCCAACAACTAAATGAGCCATCTTGATCATCCAGTTGATCATTATGGAGGTATTTTGGTCTTGATGATCCAGTAGAGGCAGCAGATGACCATGGCCTCGGGCACCACCTTGAGCGCATTCACACCCGCGCCCCTGTACAAATCACCCAACCCGCGCCGACACGAATGCTGACAATTGGACACACAACATGCACACCTCTTCTCTTGAGTGAGTGAGTGGTGGGTGGATTGATGGGTGGCTGACCCGTGCGCACTCGGCTATCGATGCGAACTGTCGCGTCCACGGCGGATCGCTCCACGGACTGGACCCGTCATACTGATAACGACGCCTACACGCACGACACGCAACATGACCAGCACAGCACTCCCCTCTCCTTGTAACGCAACGCGGCTGACATGCGTACGTATTTACCTGATGGTGTCTAAAGGGTAGGTTGCGGTCTGTGCGAGCAGTCCTGAGGCCATGCCGCCCAGCAGGTTCCACGGGTACCACCGCAGCGGCTCGACGCTCGACCGCTCCACCATCTTCTGATCGGTCGGGGGGAAATCCCCTGATGTCGACGTAGATGGGCGCGATGGCGTGGTGCGTGCTGGCTGGATGCGGGTGAGGATGTGGTCCTCATACAGACGGGCGGCACCCAGTGCGACGAACAGGAAGGGCACGCTCGACGCCATGCAGAACCCACACCCTCGATAGAAGGGCGAGAAGCCTGAACGAGTGAAACCCATACATCCATCCAGCAGGGAAGCATCCACCCACTCAAGTACCACACCCACCTTGCGTCTGTACAGTGGTCCAGATGCAGTGCCAGAGGCCCTTGAAGGTCCGCTTGTGCATCGCACCGGGCCGCCCGCCGTCAGTGGCCAGACGCGTGAAGAGCACGTCGAACGGATAAGACACAAGCAGGGCGACAGAGCTCGAGCCGATGAAGCAGCCAGTCTCGCGCACAACCAGCTCCGCGCCGTGGTGCGCATCTTCGCCGCCGGGCAAGAAAAACAGCCGGAGCTTCTGGTAGGTCAGCAGCCGCACACCCGTGCCGACGAACACGTTCCACATGTGCGGGCTGAAGCCCCACCAAAAGGCGCGCCAGCCCTGGTGGCGCCATATGTCTGATCCATGGCGGATGCACACACAGGCAGACACACACACACACACACGACCAACATAGCATGTCGATGAGGGTGCCATGCCGTGCGTGTCTGCGTGCATTGCTCACGTGTGGCAGCATCAGTGAGGCCGTTGAATGTGACGGTGGTGCCTCTGAAGCACGCCTGGCACTGGAGGATGACCTTGACCCTGTCGAGCGGTGCCGTCAGGACCCTGGATGCGGCGGCGGCTCCCCCGTAGCCCAGGAGAGTGAAGGCGAAGAGCTTCTCCTCCGACACGGCCCTCTTCTGCTTCTTCTTCCTCCTTCTCTCCTCCTCATCCTCAAACAGACCGCCGCCGGTGACGCCCGCGAAGAGATCCAGCTGCTGGGGAGTGGTGGCGGGCTTGCTGTCGTCAGTCGATGATGGTGCTGCCGATGCGGGTGGTGCTGCTGGTGCCGATGGTGCTGATGGTGCTGCATTGCTGTGGTCGTCCCGGTCCATATGGGATCAGCTCTGATCCCGAGGCAATAATACGTAATGCCTCAGAGATCTATGCCTGCACGAGCATGGCCGAGCAGTGACCCCAGCAGAAGCCAAAAATGCATCACCCCTTCCCCTTGCAAGCTCGCAGATGATGGGGATTGAATCGATGGTTTCGACCAAGGAAACATCCACTATGCAACCATGTGACACCTCTGCATCATCACCACGTTCGTTGACGTTCGCGGGGGGTTCCATCCATCTATCTGAAGCCCTCCCCTCTCTCGCCTCTAACGACACTCCAGTGGGCGGCTTCACCATCAACACACGGGACGATGATGAGGATTGGTGGATTGTGCTGGTGGCAAATCGTGAGCCCTGGGCGGTGAGAGCAAGATATAGTTCCGCTGTCACTTTTCGTGTGTCGTGTAGATGAGCTGCTGATGTCGACACAATGGCTGGGTGTGAGGCGAATGTTCCCATGCCTCTGGTGGGTGGATGGGCGCGGCGCATGGGTGCGTGGCGGGTCTACTCCCCTCTCTCCCCTCTGTGTGTGTTGGCCTGGCTGAGACGGTATGAGTGGAGGGATGGACAGACGTGTTAACGAGTGTGGCTCCATGTGTCCGCCTCTGAAGTGACTGACCAATGGACGCGACGCACATTTCAGCGACGCACATTTCATCTCATGCGAGCCAGCGGTCCACCCCAAACCGCGCAAGTGAATGACTTAGCCAGCCGTAGTCATACCGAGAACGAAAGGCAGACGACACCCACAGAACACAGGACCCTTCCTTGCTCCCTCTCTCTCCCTCCCTCCCTCCCTCCCTTCTCTCTCCAACGCACACACACCCAGTCAGATGGACATCCATGACTGAGCGGCAGGCAGACCGGCTGGGTGAGTACGTGCGTGGGTCACGACTATCGAGGGTCGTCACATGCCTTTGCGTGATGGACTGTCTGTGTACGTCAAATGCATCGAGATGAGAGTGTCTCGGCACAGACTGCACGGAAGTCCGTCGATAAAGGAAGGGGTCCCACTTGCTGGCTCTAGACATATGAATGAATACCTACACATCGATAGAAAGAATCCTCTGCGATCGATGGCTTAAATGCACCCGCCCCGCCACCCCCGTACCGACAGCCAAAAACGAGTCGCCGCCTCCATGTGAATGTGTGTGCATCGTCGGCGATAAGCACTTGGCCATGCGACATGTCAATGCAGCGCAGACGTCATACACCCCCACATTATCGTCTGTCTGCCTCCCTCCACAGCCATCATGTCGGTCGTGAGTTCATCACGACGGAGGCGACGGCACTCACCCACTGCCACCCAGCAGACGGCTGCACACACACACACACACACACAGAGAGAGAGAGAGGGGAGAAAAGGACGTACCGTTCATGGTGTGTGTATGTCCTTCTTTCCCACTTTCCCGTCTTTCTGACCTGCAGTGTGTAGATCTCCAAATCGGCAGCCGTGAAGGTGATGCCGGACCCCAAGATGGCTGTGCCATTGTTGTTGATGGTCCCGACGTACTTCTTGTCGTCCGGCAGCTCCTCCTTCCACACCCACACCTGGCAGCTGCGAAGGTCGCCTGTCGGGCGGCGATTGCCAAACCCCAGCCATAGGCGGCCCTTGGCGATGGCACCTTGCCGCCTGGCTCACCGTCCTTGTCCGTCACCGTCCCTTTGTGTGCCCGCCACCCACACGTCCTGCTTGTCCTTGGCACCTCGACCTTGATGATGCCATCATCCCCAAACGCACCGCACACCGAAAACAGCGACACAGCACAGGGGGTCGTCGCCACTGCAGTGGGGTCGGCGGGCGGGGTGAGTCCGCCCTCGATGTGCGAGGCGATGATGGGGCCGCTGGGGTCTGTGAGGTCTGTGAGGAGCAGCAGGAGGTCGGTGGCGTCGCCCACATTCTTGAACATGGCCTCGGACTCCCAGCCGTCACGCTCAGCCCTGACAAACACACACACGAAAGCAGCAAAACGATATCATCAACGAATCACGAGCAGCCTGCCTGTCATCGGTTGCTCACTTTTAGAGAAGTTGTGGGGTCGCATCCGTCATGCCGGTCAGGTCGACGAGTGTTCGCAGGTCAGACTCAGTCAGGATGGGGTCGGCCGGCACAGCACTCCACACCTGCACAGAGAGAAAGGGGTCATGATGTCCACACCCACTTGTGTGCTCTCTGGTTGATGCCTGGCTGACGGACCTGGAAGACCTCCACACGCCGGGCGGCGAAGTTGTAGGTCTCAACACCACAGAGGCTCGCGGCCTTGCTGTTGATGGTCTTGCCCACAAATTTCCTGTTGGCCGGCTGCTCCTTCTTGCACACCCACTGCTGGCAGCGGAGAATGTCGTCAGTCGGGCCGCGATTGCCACACCCCAGCCACAGGCGGCCGCCAGCGATGGCTACCTCGCCGAATGGCTCACCGTCCTTGTCCGTTGCCGCCCCCTCTGTGCCCGCCACCGCCACACACTGCCCGTTCTGCGGCACGTCGATCTTGGTGATGCCCTCCCCGAATGCACCGCACACCGAAAACAGCGACACGGGGCAGCAGAACAGCAGCTGAGATGTGGGGTCGGCTGGATGTGCAGCCTGGTGTCGGCGAAGACTGCGATGGTGTTGGTGTCGTCGTACTTGATGACGAAGAGGAGGCCGCGGCGGCCCATCACTCGCTGCGCCAGACTAGCATACGACGAACCGTGCAGCGAACTCCTGACACACACACACATGACACACAGATGAATAGAACGTGGCGCTATGGCCTCTCCTTGCCGTTTCTCACTTGCAGAGGCAGGTTGTGTTAGGTTGTTTCTTGCCGATCATGATGAGGAGGGTCTGCATGACGTCGTTGGCGAGGATGTTGGGGTACATGGCCTCCAGGACGCCGTACATCTCACTCACACGCACCAGCTCATCCTGGTCCGTACACGAGGGCGGCGGGACGACGGCGCCTTCGGGGGCCAGGCGACACCGACGAGCGAAGTCGACGATCCTGAACAAACCAACAGACGAATAGATGCGGTCTATTGCTGCCTCTGGTGGTTGTCTGGGTGCTCACAGGTCGACGTGGTTTGCAGACACATCGACGATGGGAGTGGCGCCATACCTGCACACGTGACACAGAGGAGAAGGCAAGTCAATCATTTCACAGCTTCCCCATTTCACCCTGTGTGTGCCTGTCTTCTCACTTGGTGAATCGGTCGTTGAGTGTGTCGAAGTCGGCCAGTGTGGCATCGGTGGTCGCCACTGTGCGGCCGTCCACAGTCACACTCAGCACCTCCGCCCCTCCCCTGCCTCCCTCTATGGACGACTTGATGAAGGCGCCCATCATGGCAATGAAGCTGCGGAATGCCGGTTGGCTCTCGCTGTCCTTATGCGGTCTGTCGATGGCGATCGGCGAGTTGGCGAAGAATATGTCGTGGTAGAAGGGGATGGGCTGCACGGCGTCGAAGATCTTGATCTCGTCGACCCACCCATGCTTCAAACGGGTCAGCTTCTCACACAACCTGACACACACACACACAACCAGCACACACACACACACACACACACACACAGGGCAGTGAGTCAATGAGTGAGTAAATGAGTGTCATTGGCTGCATGCTCCCCTCGTCCCTCACCAGATGAAGTAGACGGGGTCTGTGTCGATGAACAGAGTCCCGTCGGCATCCTTGAGCATCCACTGGTCGAACCGGTGAAGCAGCACCGCCACACACGTGCCACGCAGCCCCTCACGCAGCAGCACGCCACTTGGGAACACCATGATATAGCCGCCGACATTGATCTGCGTCACGCCGCCGCTCATGCTGCCTCCTGTGGCCTTGCTGCTCGTCGATGATGACGCTTTCATGCGATCGGAGAAGCAGATGAATCACCAGACGATCTCGTGTGTGCTGGCAACACAAAGCACTCTCGCGTTGCAGATCACATCCTCTTTCCTTCCCTCTTTTACACATGCGAGCTCAAATTTCTCGTCGAATTCGCGCTCTCTCTCCTCTCCCCTCTACTCCAACGGCTTGAGGCATCATCAGTCGACTCATCTGGTGTCACAGAGTACTTTGATATTCATCGCCCTGGAATCGCAGGGCAATCGGGTGAAACAATTTGGTTGCAGCGGCACACTGACTGGCTGTGATTGTGTTGTTGTTGTTGCCGTTGTTGCTTGTCAGACACAGAGGCGCGGCTGAGACGGAGATCGGCCTCAATAGAAGCCTCCACGGACAGAGAGGCCATCGTCCATAGGATTCTCCTTGGCAAATCTCGCTGGTAGGCAGCACATGCATGACGAGAATACACGCCGAGAGTGGTGCACACCTCTGTGCTCTTCTCGTCAGCCGGGTTGACTGAGCGATGGCAGCAGCTTCATCTTCATCTGCTGATCCGCCTCAGGCAGATGCGCAAATGGACGATTCATTCCTTCGTTCGTTCGTTTGTTTCGTCAGGTGATGGAGCACTCTGCAAGCGGCCGTTACCAGGAGGGCACCCGTGTTGTGTTGCTGTCGAGCACCAAGAGGGCTCCGACCGACGACTACTTGTGGGACACGGCCAGAGTATATCGCATCGACCCACACGTCTTCTACAAGAAGGCGGGCACTCTGCACGAGGGAACGGCGCTGTTCATGAGGTAGGTCGGCGGAAGGGGGGAGGAGTTCAAGCAGGTAGTGCCGCACAACGAGACAATAACGCACACAAACCCGAACGGACAGCCACCCGTGGTAGGCGAACACCTCAACAGAAAGATCCCCGAACCACTGCTCGATGCTTGTCTTTGGTGCGTGTCCGTCTGACTTGCTGCCTCCGCGAAGGTTTGGGATGTTAAGAAGAAGGTACACAGGCAGCTATACACCACCCAGACGATGTCAGCCACTCTCATGCCGCCTTGTTTCCTTCGGTCATGTGTCTGCTTCAGGCACCTGAACGCTTCGGCGAAGACATCCTGGCGTCGCTCTGTAGCTTCATGACCCCTCGCGAGGTGTCGGCCATCTTCCCACCCCCCCGCAGCACCGAACCTGGAACGAATGCGATCCCCGACAAGAGGTCTGACAGACAGAAGCCCATACTCAGTATCTCGCTAGTAAGTGAGCAGAGAAACGACCGAGAAGATGCCCATGGAGGTGGGGCAGTAGCTCCCCAGCTGCCGCACGGCCGAGGCCATCTCTTGCTGATTGTGACTTGTTTGATGCGATGCATTGTGTGTGTCTGGATGGACGGATGGACTCATTCGGGCGGACCTGACGCGGTGCGTCAACTGTGCCTTCAGCGATTAATATTCATTGAAGTGCTTTCGTTTTTTCCGACACATAAGGACCATAGACAGATATTCACCCTCCCCTCGGCGCATGCGCACCCAAAAGGAGAAGGCAACAGAGAGGCGCACACACAGGAAGTCCACGACCGTCTCGCTGTTCGGCTTGTGTGTGTGGGCGGATGGATCCGTTTGGCACTCACCGATTCTGCACAAACAAGTCAGTCCATGTCGGTCGCCTCTAAGAGTGCGGATCCACCTACTCTTCACCGCAATCACATGAACATGTGCATGACACCTTCACTTGGTCCGCTCGCATCACATGAAGGTGTCAGTCATGAGTGAACCAGCAGTCCGTCCGTCCACACAAACACAGTGAGTGCACGACTGAGCCGTCTGACACCGACCGACAAGCAAAGGCAGACAGACGGAGTTGTGGAGCTCCTCGGAGGAGCGTTAAAACACACACACACATACGCGTTGTGGGCCACTTCATCCTGCCGGCCCTCTGCATGCATCCCCCTCACATTCTGTCTCATCCCGGACGCCCATCTCGATAAGAACCTTGTTGGTAAACATACCCGGCCCTCAGCCGTGTGTTGCTGCCCCTCCTTCTCACACGCCTCCCGCCGCCCGGCCGCCCGGCTGCATGGCCCTCCACGACGTATATCATGGTGTTCAGACACCACAACCGGTCGCTGTGTGGCTGCACGAGGGTGAGGGCCGTGAGGTTAATGAGTCGCCTGCCGAGATGGAAGGCCTCCTCAGGCGTCAGGCTCTTCCAGAAGTGACGGTCGGCATGGGTGCTGCAGTCGATGGCGATGTGTGTCTGCTGGTGAAGGGCTGCCGTGTGGATGGGGGAGGGGCTGCTCTGTGCGGCGCTGCCGGGTCGTTGCTGCCCGAAGGTCGCACCGCCAGACATGCCGCCCCGAGTTGAGAATGACGATCCGCTGGAGACAGATGACGCTGCCACACCTGATCGACCCACACACATGCAGCCAGCAGGAGATGATCCATCCATCCATCCATCCCGTCCACCACCAGTGCATCTGATCTCCGCTCACTCACCGGTTGGCTTGGAGGTGGCTGGGTGCGGTGGGGGTCAAGGAAAGCATTTCGTTGGTGTCGCTTCCTTGGCAGCAGCATCGATGGCACACACCTGGCTGAACACACAAGACACACACACACACGGAACCATGGCTGATGTGGCTGCCATGGATCAGGTCGCCCCCTCTCCGGACGGCCTACCCGATCACTCACCGCTGGTATGGACGTCAGGTGGGAAGTCAGAGCACACGAGAGCGACCACACACAGATCGGCGATGCCGATAGGCCGGGTAATCCACCGACCTGCAGCACAACACACACAACACAAACACAGAGAGGGAGGGAGGGTGGTTCTGGTGTGGACGAAACGAAGGAGTGCTGTGTCATGCTGACCTGTCTGTTGGGAAGTTTCCGCAGTTAGTCGTGCCCCATCTCGAGCTGTAAGTGTGGCCTTCTTATGGGCCTTTCTTTGTCTCTCTGTGTCGTTCCTTCCTCTGCACTGTCTGTCCATCACCCAAGAACCCATGGCGGGCACCCCATAACAGCAAACAGACGTAAAACGACGATGTAATTATTAAGTAGAAGAAGCCGAGAAAAAGGGGGAGGCAATTCATTCCGGTGGCAGACACACAGCCATCCACACAGACGGGCAGCCAGCCATCCGTCCGCTGCATCGCACCAGGCACCGTGACGGCATCATTGAGTGCGACTAAGTGACTAGCTGCGGTGCGGTACGATCGCCCGTGTGATGATATGGTACACGCAATGTGTGTGCGGTGTGGGTCTCTCCTGCCCTCCCTCCCTCCCTCCGTCTCTCCCAGTGCACTCACAACACGCCATGACAAATCACGGCAGCCAGACAAATGCTCACGCACGCCAAATGTGCGACCACACAGACACATCAGACCGTCTCAGACAGACACACACACACGCACACACACACACGTGTCTGTGTCAGTGTGCCTGAGAGCACAGTGTGTAAAGCAAGCAGCCAAAGCAGCACACAGTCCACAGACGGCCTCTTCCTATCTCTTGGCAAACCGGCCATCCGACAAATCAAGGGGCCACGCAAAGGGCGGATCCATCGCTTTAGCAAACACAGCACAAAGGCGACACATTAGCACACAAACCGACACCACTAGCACACACGCGATCCATCCACCCACCCATGCCACACAGCCAGCACACACACACACACAGAGACATGGCACAAAGGGAGCCTTGACTAATTGAGATCTTGCTTGGCTTCCCCTTTGACGACACGTGGTGCGTCCCATGCAGGCACGTTCAGATGTGTTGGGTACTGCGGCAGACGACAACAGTGAGTGAGCTTCGCTCGTACACATAGAAGTGAGTGACTGTACTGTGGCACAGTCGGCACACGGTCTCCTCTCTCTCTGATGGATTGCCTGTGTGGTTATGACGCCTCTTCTCTCTCTCTCTCTCTCTCTGTGGATCGACAGCCAGACAAACAAATAGCCTGTTCTCCCACAGCATCAAAGTGAGCAAGGTGCACTTAACCCACAGGCAGACAGACAAATAGCCTGCCCGCCCTCCCGCACACAGACCGACAAATGAACACACGGGGCCACTCCGACAGTGTCATCAATCAAAGCATCAGTCAGAGTAAGGAGTAAGCCTGACTTGGCCAAAAAAGGCCGGTATTGCTCTCCAACGGATACGGTCAGTCGAGTGAAAAACAGCCGGCCCCTTTGATGTGACTGACGCCCACAAGTCAACGCAGCCACGGCGCACACAGACGGACAGCAGACGGGCGGACAGCTCTCTTCAACTCGACCACGCTAAGCACTTACATCCACCCACCTACTGATATGTGTGTGTGTGCGTGTGTGTGTGTGGGTGTTGTGTTTATGGGTGTTGGCGGGCACCCCACCCGCTCAGCGGCGCCGCCGGTGGTTGGCACGCCGCCTGAAGGGGTACCTGTGGGTGGCGTACTTCTCGTCAATCTCCATCGGCCGCTCCCAGTACGGCACATGAGGGGGGGGTTCAGCACCGTCGCTGCATCGCAGGTATCACACCACCATGACACACACACACACACACATACACATAAGGTTGATATGTCCATCGTCCCCTCCTCTCTGCGTCTGTGTGTCGGTGTGCTGACTCACCCGCCCTCGTGGTTGTCCTGGGTGTCCTGGGGTTCCTGGCTGTCCTGGTTGGCGCGCAGGACTCGCCGCTTGCGGCGGAGGGCCTGGTCGAGCGGCTCCTCGTCGTCACCGTCAGCCGGCCGCTTCCGTTTGCCGCTCCCCTCAACCTTGCCAGCGCCACCCACACGCACACCATCGCCCGCACCATCGCCTGCACCATCGCCCGCACCATCGCCCGCACCACCGTCCTCTCCATCGCCCATCTGCACGTCGTCTCCCTCGTCGACAGCAGCTGCCACCTCGCTCGCCATGCCCTGGTCGCCGTCTGCAGGGGGAGGGGGAGGGGGAGTGGGACGGGCAGGGGCGTCATCGATGGCGATCGGCACGGCTGCAGCCGCGGCCGCTGCACCAGGGCTGAAACCGAGACCAACACAAAAGAAGTGAACACAGTGATTGAGTATTCGTGTGTCTGTGTGTGTTGCGTGTGTGTGTGCGTGTGTGCGCTACAGACTTGTGCTGGGCTGGTTGCGCGTTATCGTCGTCATCGAGGTTCATGACGATCGCGTCGTGGTCTCTCTTCACGGGGGCGAATGCCTGGGGGTCACGGGAAATGACCCGATTGCCGTCCGCCTGAGCAGAAGGGCGGGAGGGAGGGACGGAGGGAGGGAACACACACACACACACACACAGGGATGAACCGAGTGAGTGCATGTGTGTTTGACAGGTGGTGCACGCTTACTTTCTCCACCCTCGCGACCAGTTCCCCGGCGTCCATGAGCTTGTGTGGCTGCTGGCGCTCCTTAATGCTATCGCAGTCGGCCCAAAGCCGGTCAGCCTGGGGCTTGATGGCCACAAAGTGGTCCATCGCCTGCTGACCGGCTTCGAACACCGCCCTCTCCCGCAGCAACATGGCCACCACCGCCCCCCGCTCCCGCTCCCAGTGTGCCGTTAGAAGTTCGATCTTCTCGGCCACCGACTTCCCCTTAATCTACACGCAGAGACCATGGCACATACACAGAGAAACAGACAAGAAGATAACGTCACTGGTCGCACTCCTTCCCCTCGTGTGTCTGCTTACTTACCCCTCCCAACTCGGTGCACGGCTTCTCGAGCTTCTCAAAGTGCTGCGCGATGTCGGCCATGTCGAGCCACTCGTAGTCCTCAGTGGCCTTCCGCTTGGCCCTCTCGACCCTCTCGAAGCCATCGCCCTCAAACCCGACGACCTGGTGCCCCATGGCGATGTTGGTGGCGTGTTTGCCACAGTCCGCCTTGTACCAGGGGATGGCCGCCCCTGGCTGCGGGGGCTGATGGCTGAAATACGTCGAGCCGAGGGACACCCTCCCCATGCCGAAGTGCAGCCGCTCCTCACCACCAACGCATTCGAAGAAGTGGTCCTTCGCTCCTGTGTGGCGGCTCTTGTCGAACAGCCCTGGGAATGACGATGGCTCCTCAGACTGACGTGGGTCTTGCGCCCCTCCTGCTGCTGCTGCTGCGGCCGCTGGTGCCTGTGGCTCAGGCAGGCGGGATCGGGGCTGATGGCGAGCCGACTGCGGCAAGGTCATCACGCCAACACCTGAACTGCGTACAACAATCAATACATCGTGTGAATTGCACATGACTCCTCGAGGCAGTGCACGTCCGCGTGCTGCTCACCTTTGCCTGTGGCGAGTTTCTCTCGACGGGATCTCCCAGTGGGCTCTGCTGCTCTGTTGCTCTGCGGCTCTGCTGCTTGAGCTGCTGCTGCTGCTGATGGCTTCAGCGAGAGAAGAGTGCACAGAGGGAAAATGCAGCCTTCCCCTTTCGGCTGAGCTCGCAGATGTGGAGCTTCAAGCGAGTCAAGAGAAGTGAGAGGCCGTTGTGCCGGCGTCAAGGAATAGATCACCTGTCAGGTTCGGCGTTTGGAGCGCCCCGAACTGTTCTGGCCGCATAGTACCACGACGATCGCCATCCCTTCTCTTCAAATGCCGCGTCTCTTGATTCTCCACGGGAACTCACTCTTTTTGGAATCACGAAATCACAGCATAGAAATCAGACCTTGTTGTCGTCACAGCGCGCTGACCATTGAGAGTGAGAGGACGTCGTTTGGCACACGTAAAGAGTGGCCTTTGGCCGTGTTTTTGCGCCCCCGATTGACTCTCTGGAATCACTGGTTGTCGAGATATGAATCAGTGCATGACCCTAAATCATGGAATCACCCGATGGCCGGAATCACCTCTCTCAGACGGGGTTAACGATTTCAATTTCTGATTCTGATTCAATGATTTCTCTCTGGGGTTTAGGGTTAGGACTTAGGGTCTTATTTCGTGAAACCGCTCTCTTAAACCCTAGAGGTCAAATCAGAACCAAAATCACTTCGCCAGTGGGGGTTAACGATTTCGATTTCTGATTCCGTGATTCCAGGTGCTGCACAATAGAAATCAGAGCCGATTTCTATATGATCACTGTGTGATTCCGGATGCAGAGTGGGTTCCCGTGGTTGATTCTCAGCCCCCCCCCGCTGCGAAGAGCATCAAGAGAGCAATGACGAAGACCAAGAAGGCAGCAACCGAGGCTCTGCGTTGAATGAGTGGCCCAAGCCGCTCTCATGTGTCAGGCGAGCCGAGTGAGGCAAAAAGAGAGCCTCAGGGAGGCAAGGGCTAAGCAAGAGCAGCTGGTCATGAGAGTTCGTGTTGAGTGTGTGAGTGCTTCGCATGTGAAGTGTGTGGCTGAGAAAAGGGCAGCTTTTGCTTGAAGCTCGAGGTGTGAGAACTTTAAGAGTGCGTCGAGCGTTTCCGAGAGTAGTCGGGTCCTTGTTTGCTTTGCGTGTGGTTTTCTTCGTTTTTTGAGGGGGAGAGAGAGAGGTGAGGGATTGAGACATTTATTCGAAAGCCATGACATCATGCTTGCACTGTAGTATGTCTTTGCGTAGACTCTCCAAAAGAGACACGACAACAAATTGCACGACATGCAAGCAAAAGTCACACAGTCACTCAAAAGACGGCTGGCCCTATAGCTACATCCTCTCTGCTCTCCCATGGCTGCTCCCTTTGTCCGCGCTTGTTCCGCCTTGGACGACAGGAATGCTGGAGGCGCCAAGGCGGTCGGAAGGCGGCGAGGATTCACCGGGGCAGCGGGGGGAAACGGAGGCATTCGCTGTTTGGGCCCAGCTGCCGTCCTTTGCGCTGATGCCGAGACATGAGAGACACCACAATCATCACTGAGACCAACGAAATCGCATCGATATCAACGATGGACCGGGTCGGTACCCTCCCTCCAAAAAGTCCATCCCGGTCCATCCACCCCCACCCCCTCCCCGCAGTGGGGTGGCCCGCTGAAGCTTCAAGCCATTGCTGATGGTTGTTGTTGTGCGGCCTCTTCGTTCTGATGACTCCCTGTCGTTCTGCGACGGTCCACGGCCCCAACGGTGTTGACAATCACGCCAGAAAGACCGGGCCGGCATCGCCACGCAGCTACCCCACGGGAGATCTCGGGAGATCTCCATTGCAGATTCCTTCATGATGCTCTCAAAAACACAGCCGACACGCCGATCTTCCTTTTCTGCTGAGCAGCATAGCGCCCCTCCCGCGCGAAAGTAAACATTTACATGGACAACGTCCACTCGTGTCGCGTGTCGTCGCCCGCCACCCACGGCCATCAATGTGTGTGTGTTTCTGTGTGTGTGTTGCGCGTGTGTGTGATTATGCAGGGTCGATGCCTACAAGGTGCTGAGGTCCGTGCGCCCCCTGTCGATTGCTGTTACGGTTGATGACGCTCACAAGATCCTTTACTGACTGACTATGAGGTTGCGTAAAATCCAAGAGTGCGCATGGCTCACAAAGCATACAGTGTCACAGAAAAAAGTGTCTGTTGATCCATCCGGCCTCACTCATCAGTCATCCATCAATTCTTCCCGCAATTCATCGTCATCCATGCGGACATCAGCGTGATCAGCTGGTACTGCTGCAGCTGCTGCTGCTGCTGCTGCTGCTGCGGGGACACCGTCATCCATCATGTCCGCCTCGTCCCTGCCCGCACCTGGACACGGGCAACCACACAACCATGAACACGACCACCTTCGTGAGGGCCTCACACTACGAGTACCTAGACACCGGTTTATCTCAGGTCTACCGTCCCCGGCAGCTAGACACCGGTTTATCTCGGTCGTGGGCCCTCTACTGGACCGCCTCACGCCCACCACCACCAAGCAAACAGCCCAAAGAGCCGCAGCAGCTGCCAGCACTACCAGACAGCGCCATCACATCAACGTCAACATCAACAGCCAGCAACCAGACACAGGCACTGCCGACCCCACATGAGGCAGAAGAGGTGTGCGTGAGGTACCTGGGCGGCATATTCGCTGAGGATGAGAAGTCGGGCACAGCTGCGTGCTGCCCGGCGCAGTGTGGGCATCGGGGGTGTGGGCGGCGGTGTCGGCGGGCCAGGCCGGGGAAGGCTTCATGCTGCCCGCCGTTCGGGGCCGTGTGTGGGGCGGCTAGGTTTCCGCTGTGCATGATGGCATGATTCAACCGACAGTGAGGGATGGGTTCACGGATGGATGGATGGATGGATGGGGGAGGGACAGGTTGATCATGACGGACAGACGGGTTGGCGGGTTTATCACTCGTTGTGAATATGTGTGTGTATGTGTGTGTATGTGCAAAGGTAATTGCCTTTTCTCTCTCTTATCGTTGGGCTGGCTGGGGGATGTGGCTGAGGGAGGAGGGTTCGGTAAGTCGGGGATGGTCGGGCGGCATTACCGCTCGCAGTGGTTGCAGTGTTCAGACACCTGACTAGTAACTAGAATAATCGGACCTTCTGCATCCTACCGACATGTATGTCCGAGAAGCCAAGCACGTCAGTCAGTCATCACAGCTGCACACGGCATACACACATACACACACCGTCAGCATCAAGACAGACACGCGCAACAGAGAGACACGGCTCATTCAGATATAAAAAGTAGGCAGCCATTCTACAGATGAAAGCGAAGCCCACGCATTGTGTGTCTGGCGCACACCAATCGGTCATCAGGGTGTGGTGTATGAATCGGATCGGTCAGTCCTCTCCCTCCCTCTCTCGCCCAGGACCAGGACAAAGCGCACAACACAAGGAAGTATGTGCCTCATGCACGCACCCTTCCTGCATGTATGTCCGAAAAGCAAACCACGTCAGTCATCACAGCTGCACACACGCACCCACCGTCAGTCAGCATCGTCCCATCCCGTCAGTCAGTCAGCACGTCAGTCATGCACCCTGATTGATAAAAGCCACAACGCATGAGCGGAGGTCTATTATCACACAGTCTTTCTGGTCTTAACTACCCGGATGGGCATGCTGCAGCCCCCATTCTCCCTAAAGCGCAGCTCAGGGTGGATGGTCCCCAACTCAGTCTGACATGCAAATGCACAACAAATATTTTTATTCGTCAGCTGTGTGTTTGTCCAATGCATACCTGGATTGCTGTACCTGGAAAGGGGTAGGTGGAGGGGCGACGGCGTGTGTTTGGGGGGGCATCGACACTTCTGTGTGGCGCGGCGGGCTGTAGGGCTCGAAAGCAGGGCGAATCTGTGGGCGGCGCCTCTAAAGCACACATAGACACACACACACACACACAGACAGAGTTGCTGTGGTGTGTTGCGTACGTGTGTGTGTGTGTTGGCTAGGGAGAGTCTCCCGGAGAGAGGGAGGGATTTGTGTGTGGATGTATGGATGTCTGTTAGTTTGTGGGTGTGCCCGCCTCGCTCGTCTCATGATCCACTCACTCATCTGGTCGACGTTGGCTTGGCGTTGGTCCAGCTGACGGTCCTTGTCACTCTGCACGGCCTCCAAACTGGACTTGACCTGAACCAACACACACACACAGACACACACAATCCATCCATCCATCCTCTCTCTCCAGAGCAATCAGTGCACCCACCGTCCCATCCACCCACCAATTCCTTCACTGACTCCCTCCCTGCACCATTCCAACTCACCTTGGTCAACTCGCTGGTGTACTCCTCGGCCGACTTGCTCAGCTCACTACGCAGCCTTTCAACCTCACCAGAGTACTGCTCACACACACACACACACACACAAACAGTCTTTCTGGTCTTAATTATACTGATGGGCATGCTGCGGCCCCCATTCTCTTTGAAGCGAAGCCCTGGTTGGATCTCCCCCAACTCGGTCTGTCATGCAAACACACAATTGACTAAGTAAGTATTTGTCAGCTCTGTGTGTTCTCCAATTACCATGATTGTTGCCTGGTGTCTGGCGCAGTGTCTCGAGAAGTGAGTGGGACATGATGCATTTGCTGGGAGAGGCTCGTCCAGATATAAAATGTAGGTAGCGATTTTTGAGAGTGTCCTCTGCAAAAGGCCCTCAGCCTGACCGAGGCGCAGACAGAGACAAAAGCAGGAGGGAGGGAGGGAGGGAGGGAGGGATGCGTGTGTGTGTGTGTGTGTGATGGCTTCGCTCACTCGCTGCACCAACCACTCCGGCTACTTGGCGTCTATCAGACAGTGAGTGCTTCTGGTCTTACCGTGATGGGCATGCTCCGACCCCTATTCTCCCTGAACCGCAATTCCGGTCGGATCTCTCAACACTTCGTCTGACATGCAAACACACCGTATTTGGAGTGGAAAATTGTCCAGGCTTGCGTCCTCCTTGTGGTTCGTATGTACTCTGGCGGCGGTGGACTCCCACACTCTGGGCCGTCAGGTCAGCTCTGACCTCGCGATTCCCAAGCCTCTGCTGCACAGAGAGACGGACAGAGATACGCGCGACGTGATGGATCCCGTCATGTGCTTTGGTACACATGGGAGTCTCTGTGCATAATCTCTCTCACGTGTAGCAGGTTATTATCCCGTGTGATGTGTTGGGCAATAATGGCTGAATCTGGTGGGGCTGCAGGTCCTCCGGCCCCCGCCATTACTCCATTGGGCGCCTGCGTGCGCCTCTGACCGTTTTGCGGGGCCTTCGGCTGAGGCGGCGGCTTGAAGAGGGCAACTGATGGCACTACACCGTTGCTGGCGTCTCCTGGTGTCTCCTGGTGTCCCTCGTATTGAACCCGCACGAGAGCTCGTAATATAGCTGCCCTTACAGCGCAAGAAGGGCGGCTGTAAGGCCTCGTCGGCGGCAGCAGCCGCCCCGCCCGCCATGGCCTGGTCGCCGTCTGCAGGGGGAAGGGGATGGGCAGGGGGTGCCTGTGGGGGTGCCTGGGGGGGTGCCTGTGGGGGAGGGGAAGGGGGGTTCATGGCTCGGTGTCGGGCGACCGGCGAGCTGACGAGTGCGATGGCCGAGTACTGCTGATACATGTCGATGTCCTCGAAGCCCGTCTTGAGGAACCCGAAGTGTTGGTCCCTGGCGATGAGGTTGGTCAGCCGCTCGTTGGTCAGCAGCACCCTGTCGCCCCTCCCGCCGTCGGGCAGCTCCGTAATCGAGTCCTGGTCGAGCCACAGGCCCTCGCCCAGCAGCCGGATGTACTGCATATGGGTCCACCGTCTGGTTATCGCCGGGAAAGGGCCTCGCCTCTGTGGTCATGATGACGCCTGTGACGTCACTCGAGCTCGTGCCGCCCAGGTGGGCAATCCTCTGCGACAGGTCCTTACCATACACCTGGTGCGTCCATCGATCCAAAGACAATGAGCGGACGGATGGGCTGTGTTTGTTGTGGTGTGTGTGCGTCGCACTTACGTCGGAGAGGACCACGGCCGTCAGCTCTGTGTACTTGTTCAGGTAGTCTCCGGCCTCGGCAGCGGATATCTGACAGACAGACAGCACAAGAGATGGATGGATGGATGGATGTGTGTGTGAGTGTGTGGTCTCTCTCACTGCCTACCTACCGGTCCTTGCAGGTGCTCTTCAAACGGCAGCTGGAGGTCCTTCTTGCGGAACAGGTGATTGGGCAGCGTGAGGCTCCCCATGGCCATGTTCATGGCCTTGAAGCCGCACGAGAAGTCGTAGAAGCCGCCCTTCTTGCGCTGCTCCTGGAAGAAGTAGCGCACCTCCCTCTCGCCGACGGTGAGGACGATGTGGTCGCCCTCCCGCCGGCGGCGGGCCGGGGGGGCTGCGGGCCGATGGCGCCCGACCACTCCCGCCGAAAAATGAGAAGAAACGAAGGAATTACGAGGCGGACAGTGAGAAATGAGGAGAGCTGGCGCGGAAAAATTGAAAACCGTCTCGAGACGGCGAGAATTCGAATTCTCGCCTCCCGGCGTCGTGTGGTCCGTTTCTCCATCTCTTTCCTCGGTGTGTGGGATTGACTTTTGCCCTTTTGTCGGCTGAGTGGTTGGGCGTTCGGGGAAATCACGGATGGTTGGCGTGTGGGTACGTAGCAAGGTATGGATTAACAACACGCCGGTGACGCCACCCATCCATCCAGCTATATACACCATGGCAGCTATACACAACCATCCACTCACGCAAGCACTCACCCATTCGCTACAGTGCCCCCCTTCCACTTCAATTTCAATCATGAATCGCGGCCGCACATTGCGCTGCCCATTGCCCGCACCCACACCAACACCAACACCACCCCCACCATCACCGCCGGCAGCCCCAGCGGCCTCACCATACGTCTGCTGCCTGCGCTGCGCCCAGGGGGGGATGGCGGGACGAGGGCGCTGTTCACACACACGCACACATGCCACACCACACCAAAGAGAGAACAGCGTTGCACAAGAGGGCGTCCAGTGCGTTCGAGTTTGGCGTGGGTGCATTGCGTACGAAGAGCGGTGGTCGCCCCCTGAACCCGAAGGGGCGGAAGTGCCTGAAGAGCTGGCGAAGCCACGCCGGACCCAGCGGGCGCTCATCCAACAGGCGCTGACAGTCCAACAGCAGGCAGGCATGAGCCATCGATGGATGCGCAAACATGATCATGACTCAATGGATGGAAATCGACGTAATCTAGATATACCCCAGCAGCAGCAGCTTGATGGTGTGGGGGAGGATTCATGGCCTCGCCATTGAGCTCCTCCTCCTGCGGCAGCGACGCCAACAGGTCGTCAGACGAGTCGTCAACCTGCCAGACAGACGCAACAGACGCAACACACACACCGAGGCAGGACCAGTGAATGGAATGGACACCCACCCACAGGACAACATATCAATGTGTTGTGGGTACCGGTGTGTTGTAGGCTGCAGCAGCCGCAGCAGCAGCTGCTGCTGGACCAGGCCGAAGGACGTTCGGCGCCGGCGACAGAGTCAAATCTGACCCCGCCCCACAAACAACACAACACAATGCATCACAGACACCTCAGCCCCGACCCTTTGTGACGGTACCTATCTCAATCTTGTTGCCGTGGCCGGCTGCAACACCACCACCACCACCACCTGCCGCCGCCGCCGCCGCCGCAGCAGCAGAGCTATCCCTCTCACCCTCATTGCCCCCTCCCTTTCCCGCTGCCTCTCCATCTTCACCCACACCCACACACCCATGCCGAAGACGCAGCTGCTCTGCTCCCGCCCCCAATCCTCAATCCGCGACAAGACCTCATGGTTGCTCGCCACACGGCTCCCCGTCAGCGTCCGCTTGCTCATGGGCGAGAAGCCCTTGCTGTTGAGCCACTGCATCAGACACGGCCGCTCGTAGGTGTGACCCAGCTGGAAGCCGCTGTGGTTGTCGCCGTGGATGGTGACGAGGGGCTGTCGGGGGATGTCCTGCAGGATGGGACTGATGGGCAGGTAGTCGGGTCGGTCGTCGACGGGGAGCTGGTCGAGGAGCGTCTGCACGGCGGGGCTGACGGAGGGGAAGGCCGGGAAGGCCTGGGGCGGGGAGGGAAGGGGCCGAACGCCTGAGGGAACCTGACGGATGGATGGATGGATGGATGGATCTGTCAGGTGTGTGTCGGCACTGCACTCATTCACCTGGGCGGTGGCATGTAGAAGCCCTGCTGGTTGTTGATGTCCGGATGGTCATCTGCGCGGCCCATCTTGCCTCGGAGTTCTCCTCCGAGTCGCCCGCCTCCACTGCTCAAAGGCGGCTTCTTCTGTCTGCGGACGAAATGAGGAAAAGGAACACAGCGGAGGGCTCCATGCTGTCTGCTTGCACTCTTGACCGTCACTGCGCCCATTTCCCACCTAGATGAGCGCTCGACGGACCTTCATGAGCGCCAGAAACCGTACGAAAGCTGCCATGGTGCAATCGTAACCCGAAGAAATCGTCAGGCTTAGGACATTCCGTGAAGCCGCTCTGTCAGCTCTGCGAGCTTAATAGCGAAGGTGAGATCTTCGCTCTTCGCTCTGTTGCCCAGATATCCGTCGGACGGTTTCTTCAACATTTGCCCACCTGTTTCTTTGAAAGCAAACAAACAAACAAGGTTTCTCAACGAACGGTCTGTGTTTGACCAAGGACAACCACAACCACCTGACCACCATGGGATTCCACAGCCAGGCGTGGCGGAAGAGAAACGTGCTGGTCTATGACAGCTCGTATGACGGTAACACACGAGAGGGCATGAACGGACAGCCAACCCCCCGCCTGTGTGAGCCTGTCTGTGTGAGGGGGGGTTGGTGTTCAGGTACTTTCGAAGGGGGGAGATGGGCCAGGGAGTGTGTGCAGCTTTTCCATGGCGGATGGCTGACGTACCCAGACATGCAGGCGGCGACTGCCCAGGGGCGCCCCAATGCCATGAGGCAGCGCGCGTACAGTTCCAAGGTCGAGGTCCTTCACTCGTTCAAAGGTGGGAGGGAAGGGCTAGATAGATAGATAGACTGGCCACTGGCAGACCCCCTCCCCTCCCCTCCCACACACAAACACACAACCACTGCTTTGGTTCGTTGTCTTCCCCCCC